AGTACTGCGATCGGCTCGGCTCTGTGCAGCTGTTGCGACTTAGCGAAAGGGTGGCACGAGCAGTTGTAGCAACAGCGTGGCCGATGGGTTTGGAACGTGGAACAGGATGGGGATTTTTAAAGGTTGATATCCGCGGTTGCTTATATGGTTTTCAATACTATAATAGCTTTCGCGGAAATTACTTGAGTTTTGTTTATCCTGTTTGCAGAAAAGAACTATTTGGCATTCTGTAAACATAGATTAACGAAAGCTCGAGCTGTGTCTGCTTGTATATTCTGTAATACTGTTGTTTACTTTTTCGCTTTCCTGTTTATTCGTAAGTGTACAATAAATATTTATTCTGCTATTAGAAGAATAGGCGGGTTTAAATTAAAAACGAATAACACATTGTATTTTAATATCAATAAATTGATGATTGAATGTTGTATTGGTAATTTAATTAACAGGCGTTTAAATTAAATAACAGTATACGACAAATTTGCTTACATTCGGCTTAGTTCAGCGATGTTGTGTAATTGGAATATTGAATATGTTTCTTACATAAAGCTGTATAAAACACGAATACACTTACGCAATATATATCTTAATAATAACTTATAATTACTATATAATAATATTACTGCTCCCTATAATTTAAAGTCGACAATTCGTTCGAAACAATTGCGTCAAGAGTAAGGTTGGACATTGTTTCACACACTTGCGAAATAGAAATTCGTAAAAACTTCAGTGTTGTTTTTCGCACACGTATACCACTCGCCAAAAATGATCGTGCAATTACTTATCCAGGAAAATAAATTTATGTACAAACAAAAGCCGTAGTTTCTCACGCTCGCCAAGTGCAAACGAATACAAATCTCCATAGCTCCATTTTGCCTCCACTCTAGTGCTTTTACTCTCAAAATAATTCCCCTCCGCCGTTTCCGTCGATACGTATACATGAATAGCAAAACAAAAAAAAATAACAAAAAAGAAACAAACGAAAAAAAAAAACAACTTGGCTCCTCACGCGCACTCGATGCACCGCCGATGGGCCATTACCTACTCGTCCAATATGTATATCAAAGCTCGGCAACTGCGAGTCGCACGCACAGGTGAAAATGACCCGCGGGATAAAATCCATCGCTAAATTCGAGTGCGGATCAACAGGTGGATGCTGCATCGCACGACTGTTGACAATCCGTCCGTCTATCCTTCTCGCGCGACGTTTTTCCACTGCAAACAAATTGCAACGCGTCCAAGCGAGAGAAAGTGGCTGCTTTTTCGCGTCGCCATTGTGGCTGCGTGCGGCACGTGGGACTCGAAAATAAAGCCGAAAAATTGCAAATAGTGACAGGCGATTGCTTTATGAGACGCTGCCGTCGATCGCTTCCGGTCCACTATATCCACTCGTTATACGAAGGATTTGATTCCATATCTCTCCCATCCCCTCTCCCTCACACTTTCGTCTAATTTATTCATGCCCCTCTAATTCTATGGCGAATAATAAGCAGCTTAAATTTTTTTTTTTTTTTTTTTTTTTTTTTTTTTGTGCCACAACAACAAATATCGCGTTTTTATCGAATTTTATGCGCAAATATCATAACTCTAATTAAGAATTTCAGCGGTATCTAGCGTATATATAGTTTTTTGTTTGCTCTTTACATCTCTAATCATCAAATTTTATTTCGATGAATTTTCGGTAACAGTCGATACGACCCCGCCACGTTTTACCCATCAAATTCATTCTTGAATTATATAAATTTGAAATAATTACTCACTCCCTAATACTATTCCATAATATAATAAAAAAATAAATAAATAAATAAATAAAAGAATAACATAATTAAATAAAAACAAAGCAAGAAATCTCTACGCAATGATAAAGTGTGCAATTGGATAAATAAGCATAGAATAGGTATGATAAATGAATACAACTACAAACGAATTTGAATATAGAACCGCGGAATACAAAGACCGACTACTTCATAACATTTACTCGATAACAAGAAGCAAACGATAAATAGAAGAGCAAACCTCGGTCTAGTGTACGGAAGTTTAGCCAAACTCGCGCAGGCTCGACGTCGAAGATGGGCAAGAATAGATGACGCGACGTCATCGAGTGTCAGGTAAGTATCGAATGAGGAAATACGCATATATGCCGACGTACGCCAACACAGCTCTATACAAGTCATAATGGACCACGGCTCTGTCTTTGTACCTCCTCGTATAGTTTGGTGTTGTTCTCGGATGCCGTATATTTCTTGCATGTCAGTACTCGCGTCAAAGCATGAAAAGCGGCGAGTGCGCGAAGTGTGTCTCGCACGCTTCCCAGTGATATCGACAGCGAGCCTCTTGTTACGCTGGCTCGCGCTGGAGGGTCGGGGCGGGGAGGGGCGAAACTTAGTTTGGACGATCAAAGCCGGAATAAATGTAGGTCGATTGCGCAACCGTGTTTTAGACCTTTCAGACGCGATGTGTATTAAGTGGTTACTCGGTCCTCTTCAAACCTATTGGTCCATGTTATTTTTTCGAAATTGCCAATGGATTAACAGACAGAGTTTCGAGACTTTTTATAAGAATTGAATGAGATTATATATGACCAATCGATAACATATGAAATGATAAATTTTCTTCGAATGACCTTCTCACTATAACTACTCATTTCAGTTTGCCATTCTATTATTTATAATATATATATATATATATATATATATATATTATATGTGTATACTCATACGCACACTCGTGCGCACGCACACACACACACACACACACACGTATATATAATGGGATAGATATTTCACGTAGATGTTTCCATTGAATAGGAAAAACAATTTCATTTATATATATCATATAGTTAGAAAAACTTTATATTATTAAGTAAATATTTCATCTTCTATGAATTGACATAATCATTTCTTTACTCATTATAAAACGATGCATTTTCTTTTATAATCCTTTATTCCCTTCAATGAGTTTTTACACATATTAAGACTACTTAGTATAACAATCTTTGTACTTTGTTTATCATTTATTGAAATAATTATCTAAATAGCATGAAATTGAGTTAAGAAGAAGATTTCATCGTTAGTTTTACCCAAATTAATCGCTCTTACGACGAAAATGTATGGCTAATTTAAATTATTGATCCAATTTTTAAATCAATTTTATGATTATATTATAAAACTTATAATGTCTCTATTATGAAGATCGATAAAACTCGTGCATAAAACTCATATAACACCCCATGTATTCGTAAACGTCATTCGATAATTGTTAAACTGTATTATTTAATGCATGCAAAACATAGTCATCAACATAGCAATATAAATATTGCGGTTCTTGATGTCGAGGAAAGAAAGGAGACATCTTTCATATACATTAATAAATATAAATTTCCCCTTCTATTTAACGATTGAAAGGCGACTATAAGATTTTTCTATAAATTATAAGTAGTCCGTAAAACGTACTTTTTCCTAAAAACTATACACCTATAGTGTATATCGCGTTGTTCAAAAATAATTTCGACCATAATTTATAAAGTTATAAATGACTTGGAAATAGACGCTCTCCCATCAAGTTGGGGATATTCGCGAAAATTTAACAAATCCTGAACACGTTTAATCCCGGCTTGGAAAATGGTATTAAGGAACATGTCGTTTTAAAATTAAAACAAAAGCTACATTTTATTCGCATGTTTGATACATAAATATATTAATGGTTAAAAAGTGGTGTATAAAGCATACAAAGGGTGAGTTTGACAAAATTTGCAACAGCCAGTATTTCATAAAAACTTCTTTACAAATGTCCTCGTATCGTCACACGACACTGAAGATTCTACGATTATGCATTGATCTGAAATTCGTAAGCGATGGTCAACCCATCGGTGCAAAGTCGCACAATAATGCATTCGATATGATAATCAAGAGATGATAGCGATGGGCCGAAGGTTAATCTCTGCTTGAACGCGTTGGAGACGATTTAAAAACGGGCATTAGGACAAAAGGATGCGAAAGCCCGCGAGTGTTTACCTGTTCGCTGACGAGGAGATGTGGGTCGAAGGGCGAAGGGAAGGGTTCACGATCGCAGCTGTCGCGGACTCGCCTCCTCTCTGTCCCACCTGACAGACTCAAAGGGAGATGAGGCGAGCGCGGCGAGCGCGGCGAGTGCGCCGACTCAGTGTCCGCGTGCTCGGTGTGTGCCGCCTTTGGCGCGCCTGTGCCAGGGTGGGAGGCCTCGCGCTGCCGCGGCGTCTCGGAGCGCTGCACAGTCGCGACGGCAGCCACCGGCGCGCGATAACCGCTATACGACAACCCCTTGCCGAGGCCCGTCTCTTTCCACAACACACGCACACCCAGCCTCTCCGTGGCCTTGTATCTATATACCGACGGAGGGCGAGAGAGAGAGAGAGAGAGAGAGAGAGAGAGACGTATAGATAGATTGAGAGAGAAAGAGAAGGGGTAAGAGAGAGAGAGAGAAGAGAAGGGGTGAGAGAGAGAGAGAGAGAGAGAGAGAGAGAGAAGGGGTAAGAGAGAGAAAAAAGAGAGAGAAGGAGAGAAAGAGAGAGAGGGGAAGATAAGTAGATGAATGTAGATGTGCATACGTGGTAATAAGCATCGATACGTCGAAAGATACTTTGTTGTGCGCAAGATCATTCACGTGGCTGACAGTCTGCGAAACTAAGGTCTGGTGAACTTTGTATTGGCGGACTAAAGAGTAGGGAAAAAAAACGGAGAGAAAGAGACAGAAAGAGAGAGAGGAAAAGAAGAGGAAGAAAGGTAGAGAATAAGGGTAGAGGTGTTACGTCGTTGGCATTTAGTGGATGCCGGTGGGGGTGGACCAAAAAGAGAATAAACGAAATAGATTGAAAAAAGAAGGAGGAGGCAGCGGAGAGAGAAAGAGAGAGAGAGAGAGAGGGAGACAAACACATATATAAAGAGAGAGAGAGAGAGAGAGAGAGAGAGAGAGAGAGAGAGAGAGAGAGAGAGAGAGAGAGGGAGAGAGCGTGAGAGGGTGTGTGGGTGACAGGGGCGCGGGAGAAGGGGAGAAAATACGGAGATTGAGAGACGGAAGGACCAAAGACAGCCACGAGGGAACCGACGAGAAAGAGGGACATGCTGGAGCCACGCTGGAGACCCGTCCAGGTAGTGCAACAAATTCAAGTTCTACAATTATCTGCCTGCCTGCCTGCCTGCCTGCCTGCCTGCCTGCCCGCCTGTCTGCCTGCCTGTCTTATCTGCCTGCCACTACCCGCTCTTTCATTGTGTGCCACCCGCTTCAAAATCAGAATACATATATACGCTGTGAATACACAAAATATCTATGCACTTGCACGCTCCCCCACTACACGTCTCTCTCTCTCTCTCTCTCTCTCTCTCTCTCTTTCTCTCAGTTTATTTATGTAACTACGTATTCGGTTAATCGTAAATACGAATCTATCCATGACAAGTCATTTTACTTTTCAACTTGCAATATTTTTAATATGTACAATAATTCGGATGCCGACGTAGCCCACGTGCTCTTCCGCCCGTTCATGTTTCTCTCACTTTCAATCTGCATACGTTTTATTTGGAAACACTATGTCTGTTTTTCATGTAATTCCAACTCAAACTATGTCATCATTTATTTAATGCTTATTATATACATTTGTACCTATGACGTTGTCTAGATAATTTATTTGTAAAAATGTGAGAATGCTTGTTTTACGAATTCAATATGTCAGTAATAATTCAATATTCAAACATATTTCGGTATTTTTTGTATCATCAGTGATAATGTCATTTTTTAATGCTTTCCCTAACAACGCTTAAATTGTTAAATTTTTACTTCCTTAGCGACTAATTTATGTATTTCCATTTTTTTTTTTATTTTATTCAAATATGTGTATGTGGAAGGGGATAGATACAGGCGTATATGCGTGCAGCGCGCGTGCGTACTTTAGTATTATAATTCTATGTATTTATGTAATTGCTATTAAATAATTTGTTATACTGTATTTTATTTGGTTTTAAATAATATATTTCGATCTTTTCCTAGACCATATAAATTAAGATATCATATATATTTATGTATTATTTTTTTATTTTTTTTTTTTTTTTATTCCCTACTTTAATATTTCTAATAATATCAAGCGATTTCATTTATTTTCGAATTATCAAACAAGTTTAAATATTTTTATTTTAGTAATAACAACAACTATTATATTGATAATAATAGTGTAAGCGTGAAGTACATGCTTGACTTTCATGTTTTTTTTCTCTATTTTTCATGCGTTTATGTTGAAATTCAATTATTTATTATCGATAATTTTATTTTATTTTTTTTTTTTTTTTTTTTTTAACGACTTAAAATAATTTTTTATAATTCTAACCAACAATCATAAACAATGTTGTCGAATTGAAAACGTATTATAAATATATCAAAACGTATAACCTTTTATTTTATTATCTTAATCGATACATATTTATTATATTTATTATATTTATGTAGTATGACTAAAATGAGCATACAAGTAAGCTGCAAATATATTCTATATCCAACAAATTACACTATAATTTTTATGATCTCAAATAATATATGACAAATACTATAGGTTTCTATACCCATAAGAGCAATTTCATAGAAATATAAATTCATTCTTATAATGATAATATTTATGTAAAATATAATTATTATTTTTAATGCACACTATTAATGTATATATGTATAATTTTAGCATGTGTTTAATCATAAAGGGAAGTGAATTTTTTTTTTTGTTGAAAAAGTCCATTATGTCATAATTTGTATGAATCGTGCTTTAACGATAAATGTATACGCCATTCATACTTCAAATATATCAAAATAATATCTCACCATTAGGAATATCCGTTTACATATAAAATTTAAATATCTTTACTAATGTATTAATTCTGTTGAAACGTTCATCTTTGCTAAAATATTAAAATGTTATATAATAGCGAGTATGGATACCATAACCTCTTTTAATACATCAGATACCGACAAATCGATAATTAAGTAATGGAAAATAAGAGAGTACATTAACAACCCTGGCTGTTCCCTGAAAAATCGACACATCTCGCCTTACCGAGCGAAGTATAATCTCAACTATTCTAATTACGTAGACGCCCTCCCTAAATTAATAACAAGAAAATAAAAAATACGTTAAAAGGCAGAAAAGAAAAGAGAAAAATAACCAAAAGGAAGAAATTTTCTACGACAGCGATGTCACGTCCTCGCCTGGAATGCTATTAAATTCTGCATGCCATGTAGAGTACAGAGACTTCCCCATTACTTCCTTCGTCCTCTTCCTTACTTTCGGCGCGCAATCATATTTCAACAATATCTCATACACCACCGATTGGAATGTACGAGCAGAAATAAGTAAAGCATTAGAAAACCGAGGTTCCGATACCGAAATGCTCGCTATGTTGACACTTACGTTCATTCCCCTCAGTCCCAAGAAAATTCACGCATATAATATAAAGGGCCTAGTTTCGGTAACATACCGAGGTCGAAAAGAGATAAGCATAAGTAGATAGAGACGGACGGGTGCGCAGAGACGTGCGAGAGGCGTTCCCTTTTCCACTTTGGGGGCGTCCGAAGGAACGCGATGAGGTGGGGGTTGTTACGTTGTCGCCGCCGCGACCACCACTCCTACAGCCGTCGGAGGAGAGAGGAACGAAGAGAGAAAGTCAACCCTTCGGTAACCTCCCCCACTTTCCGCTTACTCCCTCCTCGACTATCGCTAGAAGATGCTGCCACCGCGGCCGCCACTACTCCTACTCTTGTGCATTTCTACTTCTCCGTTGTGCCGATCAACTACTACTACTACTACTACTACTACTACTACTACTACTACTACTACTACTACTACTGCTATTACCCTCCATCCATGCGCTTCTTATGGCTCCATAGCCTTTTCTTCGCTTGCTTTTTATGTATTTTTCCTCATGGTGTGAGAACTTCTATTATAGTTAAGAATAGCTAAGTATGCAATTTTGATATCTGAAAAAAAATTCTACACACTTCCATCGATAATTTAGTATTTTTAAAATTATAAAATTTTGAAGCGAAAAATCGGAGTCCGATAAAATATTAGTAAACATTTATATTCATGCGATATTTTTTATCGGTAGTGGGTGAATGATAATATTCAATAAGAATATTCTATATTATTTTCAAATCACAATTTTTAATAGAATTTTCGAAATTGAAAATTTATTTTTTTGCTACCGGTAACAACAAATAATTACTTTTTCTAACAATCAAACGCATTTTCGGCATTATTATATAGTACCTGGTATATTCGTGAAGTGTATGAAAGAATAATCATTTTAAAAGCCTTAGAGTGCAATAACAAAAGAAATATGGACTCAGGGTAAAATTTAGATTGGGCACTTATTATAAAAATCAAATAAGAAATTAATTTTCCAAGGTAGGCCAAATGTAAATAAAATCATGATTTTATCTTAAGATTTTTCTAAATATTTAGCATACTTGAAATAGTTGTTCCAAAATGTACAAATATAATTATCTATACGAGTTGAGCGAGTTATGAATTTCGTTCGAAGTTGTATTGATCATAGATCAAGCATAGTTAGCCAATGTTAACCTAACATGAATATTATAACGCACCGAGAGTTAGAAAATATATTAGTAATAAAGTTTAAAATGTCATCTATTAATACGTTATCGTCAATTAAATTAATGCATAATTATGTAAAACATGCATCTCGTTCACGTTCATCCTTATCTTGCACTCGCACGTAGAGCTTGCATCTCCTTACATTGCAACACGCAATCCCCCGGCCATACGCGTGGGAGGCTGAGGAGGACAATGGAAATAGGGGTGGTAGCAGAAACATACGAAGGGGTGGAGGTTGTGAATTTCGTCCAAGCCACTAAACACACAAGCTTCCCCGTTTCGCGCTTGCTTGGTACAGCTCGCGGCCTCCCTGCCCCTCCACCGTCTCTGCGCGGCCACTTCCGGCCGAAGTCTATCTTCGTCTCTCACTCTGTAGCTCCACCCACTTTATATTAATCACGTCTTAACCTGCTATCTCATTCTCTCTCTCTCTCTCTCTCTCTCTCTCTCTCTCTTCCTCCCACCCTCCCTCCATCCCTCCCTCCCTCCCTCACCCACCCTCCCACCCACCAACCCCTCTCCCACCTATCCTTCGACCCATCCTACCTTCCTCTCTCACCCCCTTTAGCCCATTTTCCCTCTTTACCCCCCCCCCCCACCCCAAACCCCCCCCCACCCC